ACCAGGTGGTGAGACACCCGGTGATGACCCCGATTCCCCAAAGAAATGATTCTGGGTCACCACCGGGGTTGGGGACACGCGGTCGCCACGAGGTTTTGCGTTTCCTGGGCCAGCCAGCGCTCGAAAACCATTACCCAAATCACCCAAAACTCACCACCGGGTGTTCTCACCACCACGTTTGGGGACCACCAACAGAAGAAACCCAACCCTGAGACCCCGGGACGTCCACTGATTGTTTGTGTTGGGACGGCACGCTTTCCGTGGCAAAAGCATCGAAACCCAAGAAACCCAGGGCACCCTGGAGGCAAGCAGGGTGTTTCTTGGCATGGGCCTTCACTGTATCCCAAATGTGGGGGATAGCCTCCAATAGGATGGCCTCGGCCACGAAGAGGTCCCCCGACCCAGGTCTGCGGAACAGCTCCAAGCCAGAGCCCCTCCTGAGCCCCAGGCGGTCCCTGTTTCAACGTCCTGATTGTATACTTCCAACGCAAAGCGTACCCGCCAGTCGGAAGAGATGGGAGGAAGCATGAAGTAGAAAAGCGGATAGAGTAGATTGGGTCCGGGCCCGCCCAAAGAAGGACAATGAGCAGGAAAACTCGGATCGATTCTTGAAATGGGAGGGCGCTTGAAGTGGATTGGGATCTGGATTGGGATCTGGATCTCCAAATTAACATGGGGGACGCGGGCTCCGAAGGAAACGGGCCATGGACCCTGGTGCCTTCCCCCGGGACGCGTTTCTTATGCTGATGGGTTCTCTGACAGTCCCAGGGCCCGTGGAAGACCCAAACAATCGGAGAACGTCCAAAAGTTCAAGACCCGGTTCCGTCAGGACCCGTTTCCCCAAGGCGATGCCAATAATACGTACTTTCAACGAGCGGCGTGTGATTCAACTCTACTCCCTGGCTATCCAAGGCCCCTTCGCAAGCCCTTCGCCTTCGTCGGGGATCGACTGACCCAGGTCAGTTCAAACTCAGATCAATCAGGCTTTGCAGGATCCTGCAAGACTTGGCGACGCGCACAAACGGGAAGGGGGAGAGGGGAAGGCTTCTTAAAAGGAGGCTGCTTCCTAGAAGGCGTCGGCATCACATCTACAGACAAGGCCCGCGCCTTCTGAGATGCAGGGGGGTGCTCCTAGGAAGCCTTCCCCCCTCCCCCTGGCCCCCTCTTCTGCGCGTGGCCCGGCCTGGGCGGGGTGGGCGCTCCGGCCCCTTCCGGCGACGAGCTGGCGAACTAGGGTCGATGCACTCCGCCCAGGGCCGGTCCACCCCAGACGTTGCCCCCATCACTCTGTCAGAGCGGTTTTTGTTGAAGGCAGATCTGCCTTCAGCAGGACTCGTCTGCTCTGCAAGATGTTTTTTCGAGGCAGGTCTGCCTTCAAAAAACAACCGTTCTTCTTGAATAGGCCATTCTTTCCTCCCTGGCGGCCAGTGGGGGATGCCCTCGGCGAGGCGCAGCTGAGCGGCGGAAAGAAACGGGTTTTGCGCGAGATGACGTCGTGACCCTACGCCGCGGCGTACGAGGGCCGCCAGCGCGGCACGCCAGATAAGAGACGAAGGCGCTCACGCGCCACCTTACGCGGGCAATGTACGCGCAACTGTCGGCACAAACCACCCCGCTTTTTGTGTCGTTCAGCTGCTGGAGGACATGCCGAGGCGGATCAACCGCCGGGCTTGGACGAGAACGCGCGAAAATTTGAAACCTCGAATCCGAGACGTCCCCTGGAGGTGCCACTCACATCGACCTCCCTCACATTTACCCTATAGTCTTCGTGCTAACCTCAGGAACGCAAGCCAAGGAACGGAGGGGCCCGCCTAGCCGCGGTGAGCGTCGGCCAGGAATGGCACCCCGACGTAGGGTCTAACCTCTAGTGAGGGTCTTTAGCTTTGACCCCCCCCTTTTGAGCCGGCGGTGGATAGGACTGGGTCCACTTCGTAGCGCGGCAGTGCCACTGTCTGTAAGGCATGGCCATTCCCACGCTGCATCCGGGCAGGCTGTGCTGACGGGCGAGGGGGAGGCGGGCGAGGAGGAGGCGGAGGAAAAACGCGGCGAGCAGACACACCCAAGCAAGACTGGTTCTGAAAACCTCGTCGTAGTCGCAGTGGCAGTCGCCGTTGTTGCGAGGCGGGTTGCCGCGCGGGCAACAACAATTCGTGACCCCCTATTGGTGGTGACCCCCCCTTTTGAGCCGGCGGTGGATAGGACTGGCTCTGAAAAACCTCGTCGTAGGCGCAGTGGCAGTCGCCGCTGTTGCGAGGCGGGTTGCCGCGCGGGCAAAACACAGTTCGTGACCCCCTATTGGTGGGGCCCCAGTCCGCCAACAAGGACGCCAAAAGAATAATCAGTGACCCCCTAATTCGGGGAGGTCTTCTGAAGACCCTTACATAGGGGTTAAGGAACGGGCCGAACAGTCGGAGCCCCTCCTGAGCCCCAAGTGGCCCCTTCCTTCAGCGTCTTGACTGTGCCCTCGTCTGCCCAGGGCGCCCTGCTGCCCCTCTCTCCCCTGCACCGATCGCGCGACAGGCGCGCCAACAGGGGACCCCTCGCCGCCCTCCCACGCGCCAGGCCCGACCGACCGACACACAGACACACAGCAAGCGATCTCGAGATGAGAAGACTGTGCGGGCACGAGGGTCGTCGGGCTGTGCGCTTCCTGGGGTGCTCCAGGGCTGCTGCAGGCCTCCAGGGCAGGAAACTTCCCAAGGGCACCTGCTGGCAGGCCCGCTTCTTATTTGGCGTGCCTGCTGAGCTTGCAACTGCCCCCCGCAAATTGAGAGACACAAAGAGAGAGAGAGAGAGAGAGAGAGAGAGAGAGAGACGGAGAGAGAGAGAGAGAGAGAGAGACAGAGAGCCAGATAGAGAGCGAGAGAGAGAGAGAGAGAAAGATAGCGGGAGCACGCCAGCAGAACCCCGACGAGACAGGAGACCAACGGGGGGGGGCATGGCGGAGGGGAGGGCATGTTCTGCTGAGGCCGCCGCATGTCTCTCTTCTTGCGATCCCCCTGCTTTCTCGAGCGCATTTTGCTCATTCGCGGAACGGGAGGGGGCATAACGTAGCGCCTCCCCCCCCGATTGTGGTGCCGGACGCACTGCGACAGTGCCGGGGACGCACTGAGGGGGGAAGCGTTACGTTATGGGGTGGGTGGGAGGGGGGGGACGTAGGGGGCATCACGCGCGTTGTGGACCAGAGAGTTAAAATCACTCTTCTCCCAGCTTCAAAGATGGTTCAAATGGTCTTGCGGCCTATTGCGTTGGCCTTGTTCCAACCTCGCACGCGTTGCTCGTCAACCAAGATCGACCGACTTCGCCGCGCAAGCGAGGGAGCCCGACAGAGAAAGAGTTCACATCTAGCAACGCCAACGTGTTATCAGGACCGCAGACTTGGTCCCGCAACGCTCCCTATATGCTGAGCCCGAAAACACTCGCGCACGAGGTTGGAATGGTGCTGCCTTGGCCTGACAAGTGGGCCAACGTGGTCCGAACTGGCCCGGCGGTGTTCTCTTTCTCCGACCAGCCTGAACATGCTCCCTGGGCCGCAGCAAGTGTGGGGGGGGGTTGGAGGGGGGGGGGGGGGGGGGGGGGGGGGGCGAAAAGCAGGGGAAGTAGCGAACAGGGGCCCCAAGAGGCCCCAAAGAGGAGCCCTCTCGGGCCCGGACGGCGGCCTCCAGGGCCCGAAACATGTACCTTTCTCTCCCCATCTGGAAGAAGAACAAAAACATGAACACAAACGTTTGGCGCTCCGCGCGGATTTCTTGGATCTGCTCAAGACCCCCCTCCCTGGAAGTGGGCGCCCCGGTCGGCGAAGGAAAGCCTACCCAGACCTCTGATGCCGATATGTTTGTCGCGGCGTCGACCTGCACGCGGTCGGACCCAGGACAGAACAACAACCTTCAAGAACATGAGACCCTCCGTCGACCCAAGCACACCAAACCATCAGATCACTCGAGGTAGGGCGACGAAGTCTATACATATCCACTGCTCCCTGGCCAGGCCCATCGTGAGCCCGGCAACGGTGTATACGCGAGGCCCTCCTGGCTTGGCCAGGAGGGCGTATACACAGCTCCTGGGTTCAGGATGGGCCTGGCCAGGGAGCAGTGGATATGTATAGATCTCGTCGCCCGACGAGGGTACACTCCACAAAAACATCACGCAGACACAAAGAACATCAAAGTACCCTCCCCGAGTGGACCTCGGTCTTACGCCTCGGCTCGACCCTAGGCCTGGACCCCGCCGCCAGGACTTCAGGACTCAGATCGGCGGCGAGCCCCGCGGGGGCCTTCTGAGAAGTCCCGCCGTCATTTGAGAAGGTCTTCACCTCGTCTTAGATGCTCGTTCTGGGAACCTTCCTGGAGCCACTCGCTCCACTCGTGCGTCGAAGCTGCGTCGAACGTCAGTCGATTTGGGTCTACCCTGAGTCGACCCTGAGTCGACCCTGAGTCGAACCTGAGTCGAACCTGAGTCGAACTTGAGTCGAACCTGAGTCGAACTTGAGTCGAACCTGAGTCGAACAGATCCATTAGGTGGCCCCCAGGAAGGTCCCCGAAACGAGCATCGAACTCGTCACTTCCCCCCCAAACGCGCCGCCGAATATCGATCAAAATCGGTCCATCCGACGCGGTTTCTCGCCCCGGAACAAGTTTCGGGGGTCCCAGGGCCCGAAAGCGGTCCCCACAGGCCGAAAACCATGAACGACCGCCTCGAATCTCGGAGTTCGAACCTCGAACGTCGCCCCCTTCGTTCGCCGCCGATCAAAAAGGGCTGCTGGCACGGGCGCCCCCGTCGGCGGAGAAGCCGATGTCACGCAGCGAAGTATGTTTAGGTCGGGCGTGTCCTCCTACAGGCGGATTTTGACAAACATATTGCGAAATACTCGAATATGTACAAACAGAATTTGAAAAAGCAAATGGAAAAAATCGTCCCCTGACTATTTGTTTAATATTTTTGGATACTCCCCCTGTAAAGGGACATGCCCGACTTAAGCGCAGCCTCCCGCCGCTGGGCGCCTCCGCGCAGCAGGCGCGAGGGGAGGAGGGACGCCGTCCGCATCGTGAAGGCGCCCAGCCGGCACGCGCGACTGCGGCCGGGGGGAGGAGAAGGAGGAGGAGGAAGAGGAGGAGGAGGAGGAGGAGGAGGAGCAGGAGCAGGAGGAGGACGACGAAAAGGAGGATTCAACTGGGACTCAATCGGAACAACAGTGTTGCGGGCCACTAGGCCCCAGACTCACAGGGAGGACTCTGGGGCAGCAGCTTTAAAGGAAAGGACCGTACCCACGAGGGATTAGGGGTTAGACCCCGCGGGCGCATCCTGAGGATTAGCGGGGGCGGGGCCAGGCTCGCTTGACGAACCAGCTCCACTCACACTCTGCCGCCTACTTCGGGCAGCACACTCTTCACTAGCTTGCGTCGCCATCTTAACAACCTTGGGGGGCCCTTCGCGACGAGGCTAGAGGCCCTTGCCCAACCGGGCCAAATTTCCCGAGCCTTTCCGACCCGAGCGACACTCAGCGATAAGACGGCGGGGGTTTATGGTCGCATAAGCCCCGCAGGTTTGACAAAAGGTGAAAAAGAATTGGTCCGCACGCCCGAGCGAAGGAGACGGGTGGACTTCAACTCCCTGCCAATTTAAACCGGTTCCCGGAAACATCCTCGGATCCCTAGACAGGACAGGAGCCTCAGGAGGAGGAGGAGGAGGAGGAGGAGGCGGAGGAAAACAGGGGCTCGAGCTCAGCTCCAGGAGCCTGGACTTGGGCACAGTCTGGTGACAAGCCTCGCAAACCCACGACGAGCCCCTCAGGTGGAGGCGGTGGGCGGAAGCAGCAACAGCTCTGGCGACCCTAGACTGCGGCACCGCTTTGATGGGTACCACATCTCTCTCAACCTGCGAGTGCTTCTCGACGGCCGCTGAATCCTGCAAGGCGCGACGGGCACGCCTCATATCATCGCCGCAGCAGTGTCGACCGCATCGGTCCGAGGAAAGCCCCCCACCACCCCCCTCTCCCACGCCAGCTCCGCCGCCCTCCCCGCCCAGATATCGGCAGCCATGTTATTCATGGCCGTGAGCATCTCCTGCTCACTGTTAAAACTCGTTTTCTCATCTGTGTGCGATGGAGCCCATCTCGCCACTATCTGGCCAGGCCTAGCCCTCCAAGACTTCTGAGCCCGATCCCAAAGATCCTCCTGGGGGCGAGAGGCCCTGGGGTTTTCCAAGATGTGCTTCCAAGACCTGGCAATATTCTTATGGTCGGTGACAAATTCCACATCTCCTGAAACATTCTCGAACATGAGACAACATGCAAGGAGCTCGACCCTCGGGACCGACTGCTTCAGCCCAATGAGGGGCCTCGCAATGCCAGCGCAATCCGCATGGCCACCCTCGTCGTTGCGAGCAGGGGCCACGATCGCCGCGCCACATCGGCGCCGACGGGGATCGTCCGAGTGCTTCCATCCCGACCCGCCCCCGCACACCACCGTCCACCCCCCTTCCTGACAATCCTCAAAGGCGCCAGGCAGCCCGAGCACAAGCTCGGCCAGCAGCGCCTCATCAAACCAAGGCGCGACCATGCAGACAGTGGGCGCACCACGGAGCCAGAAGGTGGCCTGGCTCTCATGCTGCGCCATGTGTTTCCATGTTGTAGATGTGCATGTCCTCTTCTTGCTGCGCTCTTCTGACGTCGCCGCTGGGCGCCCTCCTTGTGCGCTGCGGGCCCTTCAGAATGACAGTCAGCATTGAGTGGTCCTCAGTATAATCGCCGTATGTATAGAAAAGGTTGGGCGCGTCACAAGGCAATGTTTTGCCGGCGCGCCCGCGCCCATCTCCCCCGCGCCGCCCTCGCCCATCGCGCCGACGAACGCGGCGGCGCGGGGGCGGAGTGCCCCCGAGAGAGCAGCGGGTGCGAATGTGAACTTGCAGGCGCCCAAGCTCTTGGGCCGCGAAGCTGCAGACGGGGCAGTCCAGGGGAGAGGGGGGGGGTTGCCTCGCCTGGGGTGATGCTGGTCCGACCGAGGGCGCACCTGTTGTGACCGAACAAGATAATCATGTGTATCCGGGCGTTCTCCCGCATACTGAGAACTTGGAAGCACTGAAAACATTGGTCGGTCACCGTGAGGAGGACCGCCCCATTGCGTACTCTGTGTGTTTTGTCTGCGTGCAATAAGAGAGCTTTCGTGCTGTTGCAAGCGTCGCCACGCGTCTGCCCCTCCGAATCTCCCCAGCCGCAGCGGAACTCCCCAGGGGCCCCGCCCCTCTCATCCTCATCCGCCCCCCGGGGCAATGGGGCCTGCACGGGGCCTGGCGGTGGCGCGAGAACTTTCGCGAAGTCGGCAGCCCTAATAGCCGTGAAGTTAATCCTGGCCCAGTCGTCGCATTCGCTGGTATAGAGCAAGCCCAACAAAGGGAAATCCACGAGGATCAGATCATCGAACCCTTCCGACTGCGTGCGAGCAAAATCGAGGTCCTCTAGTAGCTGACGAGCCCGCGGGTTGGCCCTCGGGCGCGTCGCCCAGTCGTCGCGCGTGCTGGGGTGTGTGTGTGTGGGGGGGGGGGGGGGGCGTTTATGCGTCCTAGTATGCACGCTCGAACTTGTCGCTGCGCACTAGGGCTTAGCACGCAGGGCGGGTGCCGGCGGAGGCGGCGGAGGCGAAACTCATCGGCAAACGGTAGAATCTGCCAGTGAGCCCACGCCCTCTGATAGCTCCAACACCAGACCCCCATCGTGCACCTCGGCGCCCAAGACCCCCAGTCCCCTGCCCAACCGGACCAAGTCTCCCGAGCCTTTCCGACCCGAGCGACACTCAGCGATAAGACGGCGGGGGGTTATGGTCGCATAAGCCCCGCAGGTTTGACAAAAGGTGAAAAAGAATTGGTCCGCACGCCCGAGCGAAGGAGACGGGTGGACTTCAACTCCCTGCCAATTTAAACCGGTTCCCGGAAACATCCTCGGATCCCTAGACAGGACAGGGGCCTCAGGAGGAGGAGGAGGAGGAGGCGGAGGAAAACAGGGGCTCGAGCTCAGCTCCAGGAGCCTGGACTTGGGCACAGTCTGGTGACAAGCCTCGCAAACCCACGACGAGCCCCTCAGGTGGAGGCGGTGGGCGGAAGCAGCAACAGCTCTGGCGACCCTAGACTGCGGCACCGCTTTGATGGGTACCACATCTCTCTCAACCTGCGAGTGCTTCTCGACGGCCGCTGAATCCTGCAAGGCGCGACGGGCACGCCTCATATCATCGCCGCAGCAGTGTCGACCGCATCGGTCCGAGGAAAGCCCCCCACCACCCCCCTCTCCCACGCCAGCTCCGCCGCCCTCCCCGCCCAGATATCGGCAGCCATGTTATTCATGGCCGTGAGCATCTCCTGCTCACTGTTAAAACTCGCTTTCTCATCTGTGTGCGATGGAGCCCATCTCGCCACTATCTGGCCAGGCCTAGCCCTCCAAGACTTCTGAGCCCGATCCCAAAGATCCTCCTGGGGGCGAGAGGCCCTGGGGTTTTCCAAGATGTGCTTCCAAGACCTGGCAATATTCTTATGGTCGGTGACAAATTCCACATCTCCTGAAACATTCTCGAACATGAGACAACATGCAAGGAGCTCGACCCTCGGGACCGACTGCTCCAGCCCAATGAGGGGCCTCGCAATGCCAGCGCAATCCGCATGGCCACCCTCGTCGTTGCGAGCAGGGGCCACGATCGCCGCGCCACATCGGCGCCGACGGGGATCGTCCGAGTGCTTCCATCCCGACCCGCCCCCGCACACCACCGTCCACCCCCCTTCCTGACAATCCTCAAAGGCGCCAGGCAGCCCGAGCACAAGCTCGGCCAGCAGCGCCTCATAAACCAAGGCGCGACCATGCAGACAGTGGGCGCACCGCGGAGCCAGAAGGTGGGTTGGCTCTCATGCTGCGCCATGTGTTTCCATGTTGTAGATGTGCATTTCCTCTTCTTGCTGCGCTCTTCTGACGTCGCCGCTGGGCGCCCTCCTTGTGCGCTGCGGGCCCTTCAGAATGACAGTCAGCATTGAGTGGTCCTCAGTATAATCGCCGTATGTATAGAAAAGGTTGGGCGCGTCACAAGGCAATGTTTTGCCGGCGCGCCCGTGCCCATCCCCCCCGCGCCGCCCTCGCCCATCGCGCCGACGAACGCGGCGGCGCGGGGGCGGAGTGCCCCCGAGAGAGCAGCGGGTGCGAATGTGAACTTGCAGGCGCCCAAGCTCTTGGGCCGCGAAGCTGCAGACGGGGCAGTCCAGGGGAGAGGGGGGGGGCGCCTCGCCTGGGGTGATGCTGGTCCGACCGAGGGCGCACCTGTTGTGACCGAACAAGATAATCATGTGTATCCGGGCGTTCTCCCGCATACTGAGAACTTGGAAGCACTGCAAACATTGGTCGGTCACCGTGAGGAGGACCGCCCCATTGCGTACTCTGTGTGTTTTGTCTGCGTGCAATAAAAGAGCTTTCATGCTGTTGCAAGCGTCGCCACGCGTCTGCCCCTCCGAATCTCCCCAGCCGCAGCGGAACTCCCCAGGGGCCCCGCCCCTCTCATCCTCATCCGTCCCCCGGGGCAATGGGGCCTGCACGGGGCCTGGCGGTGGCGCGAGAACTTTCGCGAAGTCGGCAGCCCTAATAGCCGTGAAGTTAATCCTGGCCCAGTCGTCGCATTCGCTGGTATAGAGCAAGCCCAACAAAGGGAAATCCACGAGGATCAGATCATCGAGCCCTTCCGACTGCGTGCGAGCAAAATCGAGGTCCTCTAGTAGCTGACGAGCCCGCGGGTTGGCCCTCGGGCGCGTCGCCCAGTCGTCGCGCGTGCTGGGGTGGGTGGGTGGGGGGGGGGGGGGGCGTTTATGCATCCTAGTATGCACGCTCGAACTTGTCTATGCGCGCTAGGGTTTAGCATGCAGGGCGGGTGCCGGCGGAGGCGGCGGAGGCGAAACTCATCGGCAAACGGTAGAATCTGCCAGTGAGCCCACGCCCTCTGATAGCTCCAACACCAGACCCCCATCGTGCACCTCGGCGCCCAAGACCCCCAGTCCCCTGCGCAACGCCCTCAACGTGATCTCGTCGCCCCCCGCCGAGTTGCTGCGATC